CCCCCGCCATAGCTCGGCTTCTTCCCGACCCGAGCCCGCCCCTGCGGTCGGCCGTCCCAACTGCGTCAGCTCACCCCGCAATCCCGGCAAGAGCAACCGCAGCTCCCCCGCTAAATGCCGCAGCAGCTCCAGAGGCGGAGCCAGGGTGAGGACGGCAGGTGCGGCTGCGCTCGCCATCTCAGGAGACGGCCGGGAGCCCGCACACAGAAGCCGCCGGGGCAGCTACCAGCGCCGCGCAGCCGCCGCCGCTCCACTTCCGGGCGTCACAGACCCGGGTTCCTTTCCGGCAACAACCCGCCAGGCCCCGCCCCAGTGGCCCGGCCACGCCTCCCAAGGAACCCGAGTCCGAGTTATTTACTTTTTTTTAAATACTTTTATTGATTTTTTTTTTTTTTCTTTTTTACAGATAGAGAGAAAGAGATAGAAACACCAGTGAGAGAGAACCATCGATTGGCTGCCTGCCCCCTACTGGGGATCGAGTCCGCAACACAGGCAGGTGCCCTGACCTTGAATCCAACCGGGGATCTCTTGGTGCCTGGGACAACGCAGCTCAACCAAGCCGCACCGGCTGGGTTATTTCTTATTCATCATTCTTTTATTTGATTGGTTGAAAACACTCCCCACTGAAGAAGCAGAGGTCCTAACCCTGGGGTTAACGGGGACTGAGAGCTAACTGCCCAAGGGTAGTCCGGGTGGGGCCCAAGTTCACATTGGTTTTCCGACTCTAAAGTGGCACCCTTGACTGCAGAGTTCCAGACACTGTGCTAGGTACTTTACATGAGGTAGCCCTAAAAACACACTGGGCCTCAGCCCATACACACCCAGCTCCTGTCCATTTTACTCTTCACAAATCAACTCTTTGCCTTCTTGGGGAAGGAAGGAATCATGGCATTATTTAGATTTTTCTGCAGTCCATTCTGCAGGAATCAGTAGTAGGTAATCACTCCAACTCCTGGGCAACCAAGGAGCAGCAGCTCCCTGAAGCTTGTCCACCAATATTGGCCTTCCACCTGTTGCTGGGGCAGAGGCCTGGGCAACAGAGGTGAAAGGTGAGACATGGCCTTCAGGAGCTCAGGCGACTTTTTAACTGCACTGTAAAGGTTCCAAGCTCCTTGGAGTTCAATGTCCACACACGATAAATGAGAAGAGGTGTCAGCAGTGTCAACCAGGTCCGCAAAGGGGAGAAGAAAAAAGCTACTGTGCCGTATGTCATATGAAGAAAGTAGCAGGAATAAATCTGCGAGGCATACAGCAGTAACATAACAAGGTGAACAGGTATAATTTTCAAGTATTTTCCTTGACGGAGATGAGACCTGAAGTTGTGACCAAAGCACCGCTGCAGCAAGCTCCAACACAGGTAAGCCATCAAGGGGATGTTAAAAAATGCCAACTGGAAAAAAGAGCAGAACAGAACCATTAGCTTATTAGCAAGCCCTCAGAGGGGTGAGGGCCAGGTCTCCCTAATACATTAGACAGTTCCTAAGAATATGTTGCTTTCTCTCTTGGGAGTTAACTGTCTGATTCCTTATGCTTCAATCACATTTGCTTATAACACAACATTTGACTTGTAGTTAGTTGTATATTTTGGCCTGTATCCTTTTGTTCATTTTAAAAGCAGGTATTTCATTTATATTGAAGCCCTCGATAATGTTTAAGGTGGAAATGAATTGAATACGTATGCATATACACATTCATACCCTCTTTTGGCAGAGTGAGGGGGGAACTTGGGTATCAATATTTTTTCCTTATCTCTGTATTTTTATTTGAAGTAGCATAATGATTACTGGAATACAAATTAGAAGATTTAAGTTATAATCCAAGTTTAGTTGCTGTATCATTCATTCATCATTGATTATGTGGCAGGCATTGTGTTACCCTCTAGGCTTGGGACACAATGGTGAACAGAACAAGTCAGAAAAGATGCATCATAGAGTGTGCATTCTAACAGGAAGAAACCCCCCAAAAAAGATAATTACAGATTTTGAGAAATTCTATAAAGGAAATAAGAGGGTAACTGGTAGATGAGCTCTCTGAGGCCTGAAGGACAGAAACGAGTAGGAGCAAGCGCATTCCAGGCAGAAGAATCAAATGAAAAGCCCAGAGGTGGGTGAGATCTTGGCCTATTTAAGGCCAATGGCCTACAACATGATGAGCCAGGTGGAAACTGAGGCAGTCGGCAGGACCCAGATCATGTCACTCCTCTGCTTAAAGGGTTTTAAGCTGAGAAGTGAGTGGGTTAATTAAGGTTTTAAAAGCATCACAGTGGATGCTCTGTGGCAAACTGACAGTAGGGAGGCAAAAGCAGCAGAGGGAAGACCACTTAGGGGGTGCCTGCAGTAGCCCAGCCAAGAAATAATTCTGAGTTAAATTAGAGTGGTTGTAATGAGATGGAGAGAAGTGGTGGATTCAAGATTATATAGGAGGTAGAGCAAACAAGGTATTACTTGCTGATGAACTAGATAGAGTATGAGGGAAGGGGAAGAATACATTCTAAAGAAACTGGGTGAATTGTGGAGCCATTTAGTAATATTGAAAAAACTAGGGAGGAACAAGTTTGGGGGTAGAAATTAAAGGTCCTATTAGACATATACTATTAAGTTGAGATGCTTATTAGATATCTAAGGGAAGACTGGAAATGGCAGTTGGATATATAAGCACTTGAAGTGCAGAGAAGAGGTCTAGATCAGAGATACAGATTTGGGAGTCATGAGCCTAGATGATAGGTAAGATACATTATTATTGTACTATTTATTCAAATATGAATATAAACCCACCCTTTAGTACAGTTCAGGTTTCACTTGATATAAGAATGTTCCTGAGAGAGAACCTCCATTTACATAATAGAAAACCGAACTGGGTCCAAATGTATGTACATATGAAATGCTGCTTTACAGAGAATGCTGGGGCCTATGGTCAGTATTTGCAGAGGTCTTCCCTATTTATCTATCTATAATCCTGCTGATCATGTTTTACTACTCTGAAATGAGACTGTGAACTCATTTTGAACAACGTTTTTGATCTCTTCCAAAACTCCAGATTATCACCTCCAGATTTTGGCCCATTAGTCCCATTAAGTAAGTAAAATAAGTGGTTAGGTAAATATCTTTCAAACCTATTTATAGAGATTTGCTATTTGTCAGGGTTTTGTTTGTGTGTTTGCTTGTTTTAAAGGTATCTCAGTCAACACGTAAACCAAATGTATCAGTGTTTCCCAAACAAGTATACTAATAAGGCATCACTAGAAAGCCCAGGTCTGGTTTTGCCCAGTGCAGCTTCCATTGGATAACCCACTTTTCTCTCCCACTTTTCTCTCCCACTTTTCTCTCGTGTCTATTTTGCCCAGTGCAGCTTCCATTGGATAACCCACTTTTCTCTGACCCACTTTTCTCTCATGTCTATTTTTCCTTTCCTTCTTCTGAAATATTTTCCTGTTTCATCATAATCAATTTTGGTTTACTCAGAAGCCTATCATTTATTTTACCATCAGTCCCTTATTTCATTTTTTTGTCAATGAAAAGTACAGTGAAATAAACAACAAAGACCAAAACCTCTTTCACCTCTTATAAACCCTGACTGCCAAAAATGTATTTTAGATGTTTACAAGAGAATGGTGGAAGAAAGAGCTCAGGAAGTACTCAAAAGGCAAACAAAACACCAGTTATTAAAGACAGCCTGCCAGTAAATTAGGAAACATGATCTATGCTGTCTAATTTGGGATTTGAGATTTAATTCTTAAGTGTTACACAATTAGTCCAACAAAGCCAAGATATTCTTAAATCGCACTTCTGACTTCTTACCTGGAGAAGTCCAACCACAAACGTTATACTGCCTTGTAGGAAATGCCCATCAACAAATATCCCAAAGGAAAAGCAGCAACCCATTTTGCCTTTAGTAATTTCACCAATGAACCATGGTCCTGAAGAAGCAATGGAGAGGAAAGGGGAAGATTAAATAATTACTCTAATTACATACATCACAAGATGTATTTGCAGGAATAACGAAGAAATATGAGACTAGTCATCTATAAACATTTTATTTGCATAGCTTTTCTTCTTTGCTAATCTCTATGTTGCACCCGATGTCCTAGTTAACCAGCTATTTGCTCCTTTGCTCCATATTTCTCTGGGTTATGAAATCGTCTGAGTATATGCTATACCTGGAATGGATATGTAGCTTGTAGATTCCAGAAACATACAGGAGTACATTCACAAATCTTAGGAGATTCTATTGCAATAACCGCAATATAATTCATTAACATTTCCTTAAGAAGCAAAGAGGTATTCCTAATAAATTAATTTTCCAGATAACTGAGATTTACTCCTTTAAGCTATAAAACTTCAACCACTTTAATCTTTCTAAAATACACTTCTCTTCATAATTAATATTAATGTCTTTTAAACTTTTCTTGCTGATCCAGTCATTACTTTTTACATCAACTACATATACATGGTGAAGAGTTTAACTTGCTTCTTTATTATTATTATTATTTTAGATTTTTTTTAAAAAATACATTTTTATTGATTTTAGAGACAGAGGGAGAGGGAGGGAGAAACATCAACTGCTACCTCCTGCATGCCCCCTATTGGGGATGGAGCCCACAACCTGGGCTTGTGCCCTGACCGGGAATCAAACGCACGATCTCTTGGTGCATGGGAAGACCTGAGCCACAAAGGCCAGGGCTGCTTCCTTATTTTAATCTTTCATCTACAATGCCAGAATGATTTTCTTCTCCCTACTGTTATTTACTGCCCATTCTCAGTATGCAAGTGTCTAGAACTACTATATTGTCAAGAGTGATTAAGGGACAGTCAGACTTCCTTTCTCAAAATGCAAATACCATTATTTGCTGGTAAGAATATAGTTCAGCTTTTAAAAGTCATAGGTAATTTTCTCGTATATTATATAAAGTCCATTAGATACATATTAGTCTAAAAAAGTGTTTTCCCTTGAAGTTTCCACTTTTAAAAATGAAGCAACTCCTGCCCTCTTAATGTTTTCTTTTACATCCAGGAACCAAATCACTTGCTTTGCTTCCTAGTGTAAGACATTTGTCCAAAACAGCTTAAACCTATTTGCTGACAAGAAAACTGACTTCCAAAGGGGAATCTGCCATAGCTTGTTATATAGTATGGTTAAAATGTCTTATTTTTTATTTTACTACTTTGTGTTCTCTGGTGGGAGTTAGTAATGAGCAAAGAAAAGTCCAAAGGTGGAATAAAAGTGTAAAACAAAGACTAAGCAACAAGTAGCCTAAACTGACTTTCAGTCACTAAGGCACATTAGTAAAAAGCTTTAAAAAGAGACCACAGTACTTTCTGTTTCCGTAAGTGGCTAAGTGACTTTGTAAGTTTTGGGTATAATTAATTAATATAACAGAAGGGTTCAGATATGCCTGAACTCACTGCTCATCTCAGTTTCTCTCTTTTTTGAGTTGAGTTTTTAGGAGCCACACATTAATAAATTATTCACTGAACTACGTACTACGTACATTGTGCTTAGTGGTGCACAGAGGTGAACATGAGAGACAAGACATCAATGGATAGTCTAGTGAAAGAAGAGATGATGAACACAGAAGATAATCATAAATTCTGATAAAGAATGAAGGAAATAACAAGCATGATGAAACGGGACAAAAATTTAAGGTAGTCAAACAAGGCTGCTCTGAGGAGATGGCAATTACGCTGAACTATCTTCTATTAGGTTTCTACACAAATTCTGCAATGGTCTTCTCAGCACTCTTAAGTAAACTAAATGTACTTTATACATGTTAAGAAACAACTTTATTTCCCAAGACCACATCCCAGGAAATGACTTATATAATAGGAACCATGTGCTATTCATTATATTCTCAAGAGCCTAAATGACTCTATTGTCAAAATTCTCAATATATTCCTTGGCAGACTGGTCCACAATCTCAGGTTTCCTAATTGACTTACCCAGCACTGTATATAGAGTCAGCAACAACAGAGAATAGTAGGAGATGTTTATTTTGCTCAAGACATGAAGGGAAAATGAGGTCAAATTTATAAATCCTGGAGGTCCTAAAGAGAATAAAGTTGAAAAATCCAATGAACACATGCAAAGTTTAATTTATGACATTTTCTATAAGACTTCCACAGGCTATCCTATATATTCAGCAAATCTGTTGTTATATGATAAGACACCACTTTAAATTCATAAGTTGGCAGGAATCCCCATAAGTCGATTCACTTAGAATTGCGGAGGGTAGGAAATTCAAAGCAATGGTGTAGTTGTGAGGAGCGTGCGTGCATGTGTGTACGCACACACACTTTTTTAAATGACTGAAAACAATAGAGAAATACCTGCCAGAAGACTATGCTATTTTATCTTTATGTATATTTGAAACACAATGCTGTACTCAAAGGATGATCAAGTTTTTGTTTTCTAGGGCATTTAGTGTCCAAAAGTATAAACTTCCAAAAGGTATATCAAAATATATCAAAAGCATATCAAAGAAATATCAAAAATTCTCCAGTCTAGCCCGGCAGGGCGTGGCTCAGAGGTTGAGCGTCGAACTAGGACCCAGGTGATCGGGGTTCGATTCCCAGTCAGGGCACATGCCCGGGTTGCAGGCTGCAGCCGATCAATGACTCTCTCATCATTGATGTTTTTTTCTCTCTCTCCCTCTCCTTTCCTCTCTCTGAAATCAATAAAGATATATTTTTTTTAAAAAAACTAAAAAAAAAAATTCAAACCTGTGAAGAATTAAAAAAAAAAAAAAATTCTCCAGTCTAATCTTAAGTATGAGTATCTGTTCAAATATGCCTTTCCCATACATGATGCAACCCTTAACTCGCAGCTATCTTCTTACTCCAATTGAAAGGGATCCATAAAGTTCTCCAAATGAGCATCTCTTAAAATATAGTGCCAAAAAGCCCAAGTATAAGGGTGTCACACAGAGAAGCTCCACTCTGTGGCCACAGATTAAGTACCCCGGATCCTCAATCCCAGCCAGCCATTTCACTCATATATGTGGCTGATCATAAAACAGGCAGCAAAAGACTATGATAGGAAGCTCAGTGCACACTGAGCAACAGTAGAGGAGAAAACTATTTAAAGAACTGGTCCCAATGATAAGAGAGCCTGGTGTAAGTTAATTAGTATGTCTTTCTTCACAGGCCAGTATATAACACTGTTCAGCCTGCTATGTTAGTTTCACAGAAAGCCCGATAATACATGACTTTTCTCAGTCTGTGTATTACATACTTGCTACTCATTCCTGTCTCAGCTTCTTTCTTGTTCTAGTCCGGTACTTCTCAAAGTATTAGTCTACAAATCCACCTATAATAATTATTATTTATTATAGATAAATAATCCTTTAACCTTAGAGGCAGCTATGCTTTTAACTTTAAGCAATGATTCTCTCCTTTGGCTGAATATTAGAACCTGGAGGAAATTTTGGAAAATACTCATGCCCAAGTCTCACCCTCCAGAGATTCCGATTTAATTGGCCTGGGGAGAGGGGGAGCTTAGGCAGCAACCCAGGTCATTCTAAGCAGCCTGACTGAGAAATATTGCTTTAGACAGAGCCATGCTTCTCAGCCTTAACTGCACATTGGAACTATCTGGGGAATTTTAAAAACTACTGATGTGTAGGTCCTATCCCTATAGAGATTCTGGTGTAATTGGTACTATGTAGGCACTGAGATTTTACGTTCCCCATGGGCTTCTAAGGTGNCAGTCTAATCTTAAGTATGAGTATCTGTTCAAATATGCCTTTCCCATACATGATGCAACCCTTAACTCGCAGCTATCTTCTTACTCCAATTGAAAGGGATCCATAAAGTTCTCCAAATGAGCATCTCTTAAAATATAGTGCCAAAAAGCCCAAGTATAAGGGTGTCACACAGAGAAGCTCCACTCTGTGGCCACAGATTAAGTACCCCGGATCCTCAATCCCAGCCAGCCATTTCACTCATATATGTGGCTGATCATAAAACAGGCAGCAAAAGACTATGATAGGAAGCTCAGTGCACACTGAGCAACAGTAGAGGAGAAAACTATTTAAAGAACTGGTCCCAATGATAAGAGAGCCTGGTGTAAGTTAATTAGTATGTCTTTCTTCACAGGCCAGTATATAACACTGTTCAGCCTGCTATGTTAGTTTCACAGAAAGCCCGATAATACATGACTTTTCTCAGTCTGTGTATTACATACTTGCTACTCATTCCTGTCTCAGCTTCTTTCTTGTTCTAGTCCGGTACTTCTCAAAGTATTAGTCTACAAATCCACCTATAATAATTATTATTTATTATAGATAAATAATCCTTTAACCTTAGAGGCAGCTATGCTTTTAACTTTAAGCAATGATTCTCTCCTTTGGCTGAATATTAGAACCTGGAGGAAATTTTGGAAAATACTCATGCCCAAGTCTCACCCTCCAGAGATTCCGATTTAATTGGCCTGGGGAGAGGGGGAGCTTAGGCAGCAACCCAGGTCATTCTAAGCAGCCTGACTGAGAAATATTGCTTTAGACAGAGCCATGCTTCTCAGCCTTAACTGCACATTGGAACTATCTGGGGAATTTTAAAAACTACTGATGTGTAGGTCCTATCCCTATAGAGATTCTGGTGTAATTGGTACTATGTAGGCACTGAGATTTTACGTTCCCCATGGGCTTCTAAGGTGAAAAGTTGAGAAGTGTTGTTTAAAGAAAAGAACTGACCTAGGGTTGGAAAACTTGGGTTTTAAGTCTCTCCTCTGTCTCTTACTAGCTATGAGACTTTGGACAACCTATATAACCTCCAAAGTCTTTAGTTTTCTAATGTTTAAAATGGGGACAATAATACCTACCTCAGAGGACTGTTGTAAGGACTGAGATAATGCAGGTAAAAATGTTGTAAAAATTTTAAATAACTACACAAAGATATTGGTATTCCCACACAATAAGTTCGGGGCCCTCCCTCAAACACTTGTTTATTTACATTATGTGCAGGAAAATATATATGTGCAGTAATGTTTCTTGAACTTTTTCACAGAAGTTTAAAAATACATTATAAGCAGGAAAACATTCAATAGGATGTGAGCACTACCTACCTATTCAGTTAACCATTTTACTGTTTCGTCATTACTACAATTCTCCCCTCCCCCACAACCAGTTCCTGACCCCAGCGATTTGACCCAAGCAAAGAAGGGATAAGAAAAATTTAATTCAACAAGGAGTTGCTGTCTTTTATGCACCAGCTCAGTGCTGGGTGCTGTGAAAAACAAACAAGAAGTAGAAAACAAAAGCTCCTACACTGAGGAATGTACAGTTTGGCTGAGGAGGAAATGTATATACATTGGAAGTGGTTATGTAAAGCCAAGTGACTGGCTAATTATGTGTCAATTAATGGTCAAGAAAGGACTATAGGGACTCAGAGAAGCAAGAGCTCATTATGACCTGGAATGGTTGGAGAAAATGGTATGGAAAGTGGGTTTGAGGTGATCCCTAAAGGAGGCTAAGATTTAGACAAGTTTAGAAAAACAATTTAAATCAGAAATGATAGCCAAGGCAAAAGCACAGAAGCAGAAATGAGCATGGTATGAACAGTGAAAAATTACCTAGGATAAAATACAGGTCACTGGGTGAAAAAATAGCTAGTTAGGTAAGACCAGATTGTGGAAGATCTATAATATCTGGCAAAGATGTTTGGTCATTTTGAGCTACACTGATTTTTTTTTTTTTTTTAATGTCTTTATTGATTTCAGAGAGAGGAAGGGAGAGAGAGAAACATCAGTGATAAGAGAGAGCCATTGATCGGCTGCCAACTGCACGCCCCCTACCAGGGATCAAGCCTTCAACCTGGGCATGTGCCCTGACCAGGAATTCAACCACAATCTCCTGGATCATAGGTCAATGCTCAACTGCTGAGCCACACAGGCTGGGCTACATTGTGATTTTTCCCCCATTTTGGTTAAGCCTCATGTAGCAACAACTGACTGAAGTTTACTGTTTGTTTGTGTGTTTTTTAAGATAAGAGTACAATGGAAAATGTGTGATAGCTTGCAGGGTGTACTTCACAGAGCTCAGGCAAAGAGAGTTTATATTCATATTTATCATTTGGTAATAATGAGGAGATTATGTGATACTTTAAAATAAAGTCTTCTAAGAATGAAAGGAACCATGACTTACTTTTAATCTCTAGATATCCTCGATGCCTAAAAATAATGAGAATGGAGAGCTGGATCAGCACAATCATCACAAAAAGGACCCGGGCCTGCAGAGAAACAGATGTTAATGTGAAATAGATACTTGGGTACAGCTTTGGTTAAGGTTTTTAAAATGGCCTCATTAACAAAATTGGAAATGACATCATTAGCAGAAATGAATATATAAGAAAAATATATAGTCAAAGAAAATCATATATCTGATCTTCAAAAAAAGAAAATTAGAAGCTGCCTCAGCATTACTCTTTCAGAATTTGGATACTTAGACCAATGTTGAAACTAAGTAATTTTATACAGTTATATAAAATGATCAAATTAAAACAGTCCCCTTTCACTGTTCTAGGAGAAGCATAATTTGTTTTGTTTTATTTAAAGTTATACAAGAGTAAGGAAAAACAGTCCACAATACACTGCAGCTGAGTAAACAGAGACTGCATTTTCTTTTTGCTTTCTCTATCAAGAAGTCATTCACTTGGAGACCTACTCACAGTTAAGAAACATGTACTCTAAGTCCTTATTTCTCAAAGTATGGTCCCAGATCATCACTGGAATTACACTGAGCTTGTTAGGAATGCAGAATCTCAGGCCCTGTCTCAGCCCTACTGAATTAGAATATGCCTTTTACTAATATTCCTAGGTAATTCATAAGAACATCAAAATTTCCAAAGCCTGATCTAAGTGGTTATTAAAAATTCCCAAAAGAAAAATAAATGACAAAAAAAATTATAAAAATGAGACACAAAAATATTTGTACAAATGAGATAGTCAGTTTTAAAAAACACACACATGTAATAAAAGCAAATTAAAATAATTCACATTTTAAGTCTGTGAGAATATGCACTAATTATCTCTGGGAGGTGAAATTAAAGGAGTTTAAAATTTTCTTCTTAACATTGTAATGTATATCTTTTGTATACTTTATGTTAATACCCAGGATAGGTGTGATCTGAGGGAAATAGGGTAGACTATTTGACAATGTATATTAAAAGCTAAAAACAAAACAAAAAAACCACCATTTATTCGTTCAAGAAATATTTATTGAGGACCTGTGTTAGGCATACCAGATAAAGACCCCTGCTCTTATAGGGCTTATATTTTACTGAGGGAGGATAGACAAAAAACAATGAAAATAATAAATAATAAGTAATTTATGTAATTATATAATAAATAAAGTATATAGAATAATGTATCTACTCTTTTCCCCAGCAGTTCACTTCTAGGAATTTATCCCCCAAAACTTCTCTATGCAAAAACTTACAAGCAGTATTTACATAGTAGAGGGAAAAACTGGAAACAAACACCCAATAGGCAAGTAGTTAAGGTGTATCTATGACAATACAATGCAGTCAATAAACATCATGTCACTAAATAATATAAATTGATATGAGTCAAAACAAATTCCTACATGGAAAAACATCAAACAGCAAAAGAGAATTAAAAGCCTATTTACCATTTTATATTACAAACTCTTATACAAATGTATGTAAGAGAAAAACAGGTATCATAATGACAAACACAATGGTTATAATGGGTAGTGTGATAAAAGAATGATGTGGGAATGGTTTCACTTTATCTCTAAAATTTCCAAGTTTTCTACATTTAGCATGTATTATTTATGTAGGGAGAAATATTATTTTAAAAAGATCCATAATCTGACTTAGCACAGTCCCTACAATTCCCTTAGTTATCTTGGTTTAATGGCATTGGTTAGAACCAGGTCCCAAAACAGGTATTACTTGTCCATGCCTTTGTTTCTTTTAATTCAACTTAAAAGCACTTTATTCTTCTATATGAATAACTAAACTTTTCATTTTATAAGGTCCAGCGTTCTCATCACATGATTATTTAGGGACTTTGGACCTACCAAATCCAGTAGAAACACAAATAACATTAGGTTGAATTTACTCACCACCATGCAGTGGTCAGTAAGAAGAATAAATGATGCCAGAGGGTCAAATCGGAGCTGATTATCCTCTTGAAGAGAAAATATGTGGCGAACACTCTTACTTCTTCCAGCAGAATCCTAGTTAGAAACAGAGCAGAGGAGTAACTCTCATGCTACTTTCTTTCCATTTGTTTATTCTTCCTACAAGCACTTTACATAGAGAATTTCTTTAAAACCTTGTCATTCTAGATTCAAATTAGAAATATTGCCATGTACTCACAATATATTTTCTCTTTTTAAAAAATCTGTATTCCCCTATGTTCACTGAAAAGGCCTAGAAGTAAAAACAAACCCAATAGCAGTGAGCTAGCTGGGCTGGTGCCAATCGTAGTCTCAAAAGACCATTTTTCACAACAAGGAACCAGTGCTCTTTAGAAAAACGGCTGATTCCAGCCCTGGCTGGTGTGGTTCAGTTGGTTGGGGCATCACCTATGCACTGAAAGGTCAAGGGTTCGATTCCTGGTCAGGGCACATACCAAGGTTCCGAGTTTGATCTTGTGTACAGGAGGCAACCAACTGATGTTCCTTTCTTACAGTGATGTTTCTCTCTCTCCCCTCTCCCTTCCCCTCTCTCTCAAATCATTAAAAACAATAATAATAATAATAATAATAATAATAATAATAATAATAATAAATGGCTGATTCCAGTTCTTGAGTAAGAAATGCACAAGAAGAGCTTGGAATATCTTGTCATACCAGAAAGTAAAAAAAACTAACACAAACTACTAGGATTATATTAAAGGACTTAGTGGCCAATTTGGAGAGGCTCCCACTAGCCAAAGATGGAACAATTTGAGCATCAAAAAGAATAAATGCAATGGATTGAAACATACCACCATATGTTTTTTTAACATTGAATTCATAACATACCATTCATCTATACCATAGAAGACTCATTTGCTTATCTTTAGCAGATGCTAGAGAAGCAACTCATTATTCTGAGAACTGGTTTAAAAAAGGGAGGGTGGGGGACTAAGAATTAAGAATTTATCCTGCCTTTCCTATATGAACTCTGTATCTGGGTGCCAAAAAGATAAGGGAAATGTTTTCTTTACGGGACTATTCTAATTAACACTCCCATAATAAGGAGTAGCAATTTGAATATCATCATTTTATAACTCTATGAAATAATGGATCTAGGCAAAGATCATCAATAGCTGCTAAAAACTCTTCAGTGAAAAGCTGATGGGGTACTTCCTAATGAATGGAGGGATAAGCCAGCAGTTTGCTGGAGCTGGCTTTACTGGCTCACAAGGACCAATTGTTAAATTTTCAGAAATTTTGCAAGCCAGTTGATGTTGTGTTGGTAGGAATATTTATACCATGGAAATTGGTATAAATCAGGGAAATGCTACAAAGCAGTCCCCCCCACCACCAAGCATCCTCCAAGTTGGTTGTTAAATATTTACCAGCACATCATTAGATAAGGTTAACAATACCTGAATACATTGATCAATCTTAACATTACTAAAAGAGACAACTGGATATTATAGTCTTCTGGTGAAAGCATAAAACACCAAATGATGTATTCTTGCTGAAAAACAAAGAGACTCAAATCTAAACAGCAAAAATCCAGAACATAGGAAACTACAGATAAAAGATCCAGTTTCCAAAGAAAATAAATTGTAAGGGGGAAAACCAGGAGGGGTGAGAGGGGAAATATAGATTAAAAGAGACTGAAGAGACAAATCAGCTAAATGCAATATTTGAGCCTTGTTTGGATTCTGATTTGAACCAACCAAATGCACTATATAGAGAGAGAAATATATGACAAATTGGAAAAACTGAACACTTGTTGGACAGTTTGATATTAAGGAATTACTGTTAATTTTTCAGGTGTAATATGATATTATGGTTTCATTATTAAAAACAGTCCTTATCTTTTAGTGATTCATACTGACATATTTACATGTAAAATGACATCATGGTGCAGGAGGGAGAGAACTGCATGGAGTATTGTAGGGTCAAGGGAAGATATAGCCCAATTCCCCCTCCCAATCAGTGGAAAGGTGCCTGCCTGGCCAGTGGCCACAGGAGCAGAGCAGCACAGATCCAAGTGTTTCCCACGTCCCTGACAGCTAATAAGCCTCTCATCAGAGTCTCTGTTTGGCCTTGGTCTGCACGCAAGCCTTTCCCAGCACGGCTCCCTCCCTCTCCCTCTCCCCTCTGCTAGATAAGCCCCTTAGCCTACCCTGGCCAAGTGTGGAAACACCCGACTGGCCGCCATCAGGTCTTCCACAGATATAATATAGGCTATGCCTTTTCCCTCTGGTCCCCCTGTGATTTTTTTCGGACTAGTAAAGAACAGTGTGGTGCTCCCTGGGTTGGAGCTCCTACAGTACAGGCATAGATGAGTAAAGACTGGTCATGAGTTGATAACTGTTTAAGTTAACAGATGGATACATGGGAATCCATTATAGTATTATCTCTTTCATATATTTTTAAAATTTCCCATCATACAAAAGTTTTTAAATAGTGAAAAGAATCTTTACTGGTATTTATCAAACTGTACTCAAAATATTCTTACTTTAAATGATAAGTATTTGCTTTAAAGCAGAGATTTTCTTTAATTTTGAGATATAGAAATTTCTAGTATTTAAATTGGCAAAGTAGACGCAACAGTCTAAAGTACTGGTTCTCAAACTTTAGTGCATATCGGAATCACCTGGAGGGATTGACTGTTAAAAGATTGCTGGCTCCGATCTCCAGAGTCTCTGATTCATAGGTTTGAGAAAGAAACTGAGAGTTTGCATTTCCAACAAGTTCCCAGGTGATGTTGGTGCTACTAGTTCAAGAACCACACTGAGAATTGATCTGAGAATGTTTGTTAGTAGGCAGCCCAGAATCTATATTCAATGAATACACCTAGTGGGTAAAATACAAGATAATAAATTGATGCGATCTCTCACAGATTTTTCTCTCAGACTTATCTATACAGTAAACCGTATTTAAAAGGACATAATGTTTCCATTGATGAGTGAGGGGACCAGGTTCCCTACTTCATATTCAGTAGACTAATTTTTTAAAGTTATACACATACAGACAGAAAACAAATTGCCTGGAAATGAGAGTGGAAAGAAGGCGGTGACAAAAGGGCACAAGATGTATCACACCGATTGTAGTAATGGTTTCAAGGATGTGTATGCATGATAAAACTCACCAAATTGTACTCTTTAAATACACATATAATTTGTATGTAAATTATACCTCAATAATGTTGCAAGAAATGTTAAACATATAAAAAGTATATGTGATTTCACATTTTTACTAAGGATTCAAATAAATGGCCAGAAATGTTTCAAGGAATATGAATAAGGTTTTTTGTTTTTTTTTCCATAAAACTACAGAAGCTGAGATTCTGAAGTAATCCAAGGATTGGGGGGTTCCCCACTCCTAAAGTGAGCAGATCTCGTATGGTTGCTCCTACTTCTTCCCTATGGCTGTGAATACAGGGAATATTCTAGGTGCACTTATACCTTCAAGCCTTTTTAAAATGACCAACTTCTAATATGAAAGACATTGAGACTTCATCCCCAGCCATCACCCCTTTCACATCCTCCCTGTGTATTTCTTCTTCCCCCTAAGCAGAACGCTTCAAAGCCTCTAGCACTGCAAAGTGCCTTCTCATGTTCCCTCATCTATGAATTGGGGATAAAGCTACCCACCATATAGGATTGTGATATGGATTAAGTAAAAAATTTAAGTGTCTGGCATCTCCTTAACAGCTCTTCCCTGCTCAAAATCCTTCTCTGTGACAAAAAAAAAAAAAAAAGGTAATGAAAATAATTTCATGCCCTGGCCGGTGTGGCTCAGGGGTTAGAGCGTCGGCCCTCGCACCAAAGGGCTGTGGGTTTGATTCCTGGTCAGAGGCAAGTACCTGGCTTGCAGGTGTGACCCCCCACCCTAGCTGAGGCACGTGCGGAGGCAACCAGTCAATGCGTCTCTCTCACATAGATGTTTCTCTCTCTCTCTCTCCCCCCCTACTCCCTTCCACTCTCTCTAAAAATCAATGGAAAAAATATCCTCGGGTGAGGATTAACCAACAAAGAAACAAACAAAAAAGAAAACAATTTCATGTGTTTTCTGAAGGATTACTCTATGTTTCAAACCAACTTAATATTAGATGAAATAGTTAAAAACTGTCATCAAATCATAAAATTGTAGAAATTGACAAATTTTATTTTTTGAAACTAATTTCTGAGCACAATCTATCCCTTAAAAAGTTTCATAATGTTAATGAAACTGCTCTGTTTTGGTAACAGTGATCAGTTTCACTCTGGCAGGTGCTAGTGAATTAAATGCCCACCAGGCTGTATCAGAAAAATGCCAGGCAGACTATGACTGCATATGCTATGAATGCATACTCCCAAACAAAAAAATCCTTTACTGCCTAGAAAATTCTCTTCCCTAGAGCTTTCGAAATAGTGAAACAATTTTCCTATACTTGGAGACAGCAATAAAAGGCATGGATACATAAATACATGTTTTCTGACTTATTCTATTATCTTTTGGTATATTGGTGAATTTTCTCCCATTATTAAAAGACACTGGGGCCAAAGTTGAAAGAAAACAAAAGCATAATTCCCTGAAGTTAGAACAGGGGGGGCTGTGGACAGTAGTTGCACATTCCTTTTTTCCTCTGCTCAGTTTTTAGTCTCATAGTAGAATTACTCCTGAGTGCCCATTTTCAGAGCATACTAAATTCAATGTATCCAAATTTTTATTTAAACTTAGTTTCATCTTTACCAACTGACTGAAAAAAAAACCCACCCAAATCAGAGTTCAGTGTGGTTATAGCCTAATCACATTTATACAGCAAATTGAAAATTACTAACTTACCTGGACGATTACTTCTATGTTATGTGTCCTATCACTATAGTTTCTTGGGTCCCACTTCAGTGTGAAAATAGGGCCAGATGAATGACTAGCTTGCCCTATATGAACTCCATCAATCTTAACAGTGACAGAAGTAATGGAGGTTAAGGAAAAGGCCAAGACTCTGAAATAGAGCACATATAAAACATGGTTTTAGGTGTTTGTCATTGTTTTTATAGAGGAGAACAAGTACAGACAGAACCATCACATGGTGCAGTTGTAGGGACCACTACTCATATGCTCTGGTTTCTTTCTGAACGTGGTTTTTGGAGTTGCATAATTCAGCAAACCTGAACTGGTAGGAAATTAGAAACTATTCTTTTACTTTTTAGAAAGGAAAATCAATTTTCTTTTGATAAATCAAGCTGGGTTAGACCCAAAGATCTTTCTGAAGAAACTCCGAAAGTCCTAGTTTTCCTCATAGGAAGAGAATAGAGGTTAGGCATCGCACTTTGTTAATCTAATGTCAAGCCTACCATCTATTTACTTGGTTCCCATGCATTCATTTGATTCTTCTATTCTACACTAAAGAAGCAATGTCACAAATCAGGCTAAGGCCCCAGAGAATGTAATGCTTAAATCTGATATACAGCGCCTATCAAAAAACCTGACTGAAAGATGTTTTACTTAACTAATGATCAAAAAATATATTACAACAGCTTGATACCATTTTTTTCCAGACTAAGTAGTAAATCTTTTTAAAAGTACAATATCCAATGCTGATAAGGGTGCTGTGAAATTGGCACTCATACGGCCTGGTAACATATAAATTAGTATTTGTTTTAAAAAGTAATTGGGGTCCTGGACAGTGTGGCTCAGTGGTTGAGCATCAACACATGAACCAAGAGGTCACTGGTTTGATTCCTGGTCAGGGCACATTCCTGGGGTTGCGGGCTCAATCCCCAGTGGCTGGCATGTGGGAGGGAGCCAATCAATGTTCCACTCTCACATCAATGTTTCTCTTTCTCTCTCCCTCTCCTTTCCTCTCTCTCTAAAAATCAATAAAAAACATATTTTTTTAATGTTTGAGAAAGGTTGTCTCTTTAATTCACATTGTCATATTCACATGGCAACTGAATAATTCCACAGGTTTATATAGCTTTTGCTTTTTTGGAAGGCTGTGTAGCAAAATGAAAAAAAATATTCTGATATATAATGTAAATATTCTTAAGTAGAATACAAAAGAGTATGTACATTATAATTATAACAATATAACAACATGCAAATAAAAAGGTGGGATAAAATACACAAAAGTAATAATGGTAGGATTATAGGTTTCTGGATGGTTTTTAAACTTTCAGCAGCACAAAATACACACACATACACATATATTAAAAAGAGGAAGGGGGGGGATGGAGAGAGAGAGAAACATCGATGGGTTGCCTCCCACACAGGCCCAACCTGGGATCTAACCCAAAACCTGGTATGTGCCCTGACTGGAAATAGAACCTTTTGGTGTATGGGACAACAACTCCAACCAACTGAGCCACACTGGCCAAGGCTAAAATATATTTTTTAACTGCATTGGAACAAAACAGTAAGCAATTTATCTTTACATAATGTTTAGATTGCTGAGACAACTAAAGTGGGGCATTTCATAACTGTTACATGGGAATGCAGTCACAATGATTTATTCTCCATCAATATCAAACTGAAAGTAAATTCTGAAAATGTTCTACATACCTGATGTGTGTTGAGTGAAGGATTCTTTCTAGTGGTTCATGTTTAGGACAACTATAGAGGAGTGACTTAGGATTGGTGATAAGAACCACAGGCCACTCGCCAAAGATCAAATCCGAAAAGCTAAAGAGGTCATGATCAAAAGCAAAGATGCGGTACCTAGAGACCAGAGGACAATAAGGCAATTTAGTCGCTTCGTATTTTAAGAGGCATAAAGGTTATATACAGAACAAATGTCAAAATATAAAAGTATACTTTCTGAGATCACGAATTTGAATATGAATTGCTTTATACTTCACATTTGTCACAACAACGGAGATCTGACTGAAGCAACAAATTTAACTGTGCCCTAGAAAAATGTCTGGTACATAGCATGCACTCTTTAATTTTTAAATAAATGCTTGTTCAATTAATTCATTTGATTTCTATACTTTAAGACTATTTTGAACCTGAGATATTCATCATAAGCCTAATATTTGACATTCTTCATACCATCAACAATGCTACATAAAATATTAAAATAAACACAATTAGAAACCTTGCACTTGTCTTTTAAATCTTTATTTCTATAATTTCAAATAAATTAACAAAAGTTGAGTTGTCTTGATTTTCTAAATACACAATGAAATGTATAAATACTCATTAAAGAATAGCCAAAGTTTTGTATTTTCTACCCTTTAGAACTGAGAAATGATTAACTATGGCAGAAACAACAGTGCTCACCAAATACTCCATGTGCTACCCTGCAATTTCCCAGTCTCCCTAATATTAGGTTGGGACTATGTGACCAGTTCTGACCAATGAGCTGTGAACAGAAGTGACATGTATCACACTTCTGGTTCAAAGTACTTAAGAGTGGGTGTGAGTTCTCCATGCTCTCTTCCCTGCCCTGGAACTGAGGTGTTGAAGCAGTGGCCTTTTAAGACGAAGGAAGTCCGAATCCCTGTCACCCCGTGGAAGAGAACTGTCCTGACTCATACCAGCTTTACATAAGTGAAACAACAGACATCTGTTGTGTTAAGCCACAGGTTTATTTGCATCTACAACAAAGCCTAGCCTAATATTACTGTTTTTTAAAACTATTTTACTAATACAACTTAAATGTTTAGTAAGGGAAGGTAACCGTTAGGTCCTTTCAGTAAAACTCCAAATAAAACCCCAGGGTTGGAACACAAAAGAACAGGTGGGAAGAAAAAGAAAAAAAAAATGGTTTCATAATTAGTATCACTTAACTTGTAAATGTAGTATTGATAAGAAATAAAGAGGCTGATCAAGGATTAGGAAGGCTGTCTGGTACAAAGCAATCACAGCCCAGCCCACAGCCTCACAGTCATGAATAGACAGGTCTTAGCTCAAAGTAATTACAGTAGCCAACTAACTACGGGCTTCAAACGTAGCTCTTACAAAGATTCTAGAAAATCAACTAAAATGAGTAAGTACCACCTGCAAGGTACAGTTGCTTTTTAATTAATGGAAATAGTTAAAAATGAAAGAAAACATATTCAGCTCAGCAAATATTTATTGGGTACCTAATATCTTCAGGGCATTGAGTTTTAATAAACTAAACAGCATTTGATAATAGTTAAACAATGAAAGGATACTCATCTATACTTAAGCTCATACACTTAAATAGTTATTATCAAAATTATAGTTCATCCTATATATTAAATTATACTGCACGCTTTTTATAAAAAAGTTATGTTTCTTCTTAGAAAGACTTTAACCTTAACAAAACCAACTATCATCTATTTGAAGAACTTAAATCACTAGCATCTTGTAGCGATAACTAGAAATGTCGATACAAAATTCAGGGGACCCCTGGTCAGCATGGATCAGTTGGTTGGGCATCGTCTTGGGCACCGAAAGGTTTCCAGTTCGATTCCCGGTCACGGCACATGCCTGGGTTGTGGGCTCGATCCCAGGTACAGGGTGCGCAGGAGGCAGATGATCAATGTTACGCTCTCACACAGATGTTTCTCTCTCCCCCTCTCCCTTCCTCTCTCTCTAAAAATCAATTAAAAAATAAAAATTAAAAATTAAATACAATACAACTCAGGGGAAAAATTACATATTCCTAGTCCTAGTGTTTCTCTCTTTTTAAAAAATTTTATTTATTGATTTTAGAGAGAGAAAGAGAGGAAGGGAGAAAAACAGGGAAAGAGAGAGGAGAGAAAAAGAAACACTGATTTGTTGTTCCACTTACTTATGCATTCATGGATTGCTTCTTGTATGTGCCCTGTTTGGAGATCAAATCCACAGTCCAGTGTATCGGGACAACACTCTAACTGAGCTACCTGAACAGGGCTGGTCCTAGTGTTTCTCAAAGTGTGGTCCATAGAGTACCTGATGTGCTTTTAAAATATGCAGTTTCTTGGGTTCTAACTCAAACCAACACAATCAAAATCTCTAGAGGTAGGGCCTAGAAATTTTTATTTTTATTAAGGTCCTCCGTAATTCTTAGGCACACTAGAGTTTGAGAACTGTTTCCTAATGGATGTATCTTGAAGATCCAACATAACATAGTGACAGCAAACATAACTGTTGCAAAAAGGTTTCTGCATAATGAGAAAGATTGCCGGGTACATATATTACTTCAAAAACAGCCTGGCCGGGTGTGGCTCAGCAGCTGAGCATTGACCTAGGATCCAGGAGACTGCGGTTCGATTCCCGGTCAGGGCACATGGCTGGGTTGGGGGCTCAATCCCCAGTTGGGGACGTGCAGAAGGAAGCCGATCACTGACGACTCTCTCATCATTGATGGTTCTCTCTCTCTCTCTCCCCCCCTTCCTCTCTCTGAAATCAATAAAGATTTAAAAAAACCAAAAAACCCAGAAATATCACAAGTTTTTCCTTAACTGGGATTACCCACGACAGCACTAAGAAAGCTATTACTGCTTTAGCAAACTTAACATGTACTGGTTTTATTCTGTGAGGTAACTACCCCTTACCGTCTGTTTTTCTTCCAGTCTCCCAACTCAAGTTCCAAAGTGCCCTGGGAGTGACGAGTGTGCAAAACAGGCATCAGTCCACCGAGTGTATGGAGGTGCCCACAAAAATAAGCTGTAGCTGAACTAACCAATAAAAAATAAATGGAATAATGAACAAAGATAAGTTGTGGTGCAAAGTAATGAAAATATTTATTCAGAAAAGCAAGATAGGTAGAGCAACATAAAATTATTAAAAGCAATTAATTTTGATTTTGGAAGCCTGCCTCACCTCATTATGGACCGAACTCCTGGTGATGGAGAAAGAATAGTAAATGTTACATAGTGTCCAAACCAAATACTGTGGTTGCTCCGACTGCTTTCTTTTGACAGCAATAAAAGCTCCTCCATCCTTTTCTGAAATGAAAGAAAAATAGGATCTTTAATTAGTCTCAGGCTGAAATCTAATGTCAATAGATTAAACAGCTCCCTTGAAGTATTATAATGTTAAGTATATTTAAGTTTAGGGCTGAAACGTTATTAATTGATGACTTGTATGGACTTTTGTAAGTTTTAAACTGTTTTTACATACAATATAATTCACTTCATCCTAAAAATAACTCTGAGCTAAGTAGGGCAGGTATCCCCATTTGATAGATGAGGACGCAGAAATAATCTTTAGCTTACACAATTTAAATATATATATATATCTTTATTGATTTCAGAGAGAAGAAGGGAAGGGAGAGGGAGAGAGAGAGAGAGAAACATCAATGATGAGTCATTGATCGGTTGCCTCCTGCATGCCCCCTGCTGGGGATCGAGCCCGAAATCTGGGCATGTGCCCTGAACGGGAATCAAACCACAGTCTCCTGATCATAGGTCAATGCTCCATCGCTGAGCCACACCCAGCTGGGCAGCTTACACAATTTTTAAAAATTTATTTATAAAATTCTTTATAAAAATAAAAAACTACTAACCTTTTCAGCCCTGTCTACCACACTGCAATTAATAAAGAGGATAGTGATACTAAAACAAGATGCATATTATGTCCACAGAAAGCTTTGTACCTGAATGTTTCTAACAGCTCTATTCATAGTAGCCAAAAATTAGAAACCATCAACAAATTGCATATATCCATACAACAGAATACTACTTGACAATAAAAAAGAAAGAACTACTGATACACACAATAATATGGATAAATCTCAGAAACATTATATTGAGCAAAAAAAGCCAAATACAAGAGTACACTCTGTATGGTCTCATTTATGTAAAACTCTAGAGCAAGCGAAACTAATCTATGCTTATAGAATACCAAACAGTTGTCCCCTGGGATTGGGGGTGGAAACTGATTTCACAAGAGAACTGTGTGTGATGATAGAAATGTCCTGTCTTGAGTGTACTGAGAGTTACATCAGTATAGACATTTATCAAAACTCTTCAAACAGTTGAAATGAGTGCATTTTATTGCATGCAAATTATCCTTCAAGTGGATTTCAAAAATAATGTGTACATATATAAATATATATTAATATTATCTGTAAAGAGCTTATAGCAATAAATTCCTGGGCCCTACCCTTAGGGTTTCTAGTTTGATACATCTTAGGTAAAGCCTGAGAATCTTAATTTTATAAGACTCCAGAAGATTTTCATGCAGATGATCCTTGAATCATACCTTAAAAAACATTATTCTAAGGAATACATTTTAAAATAACATGTTAACTCTGTCTAAAGATACTTGGTAGGCAGGAAACAAAATACACCTACATTAAATAAAATACCTAATATAATATAATGCATCAGACAATATTCTGTTCACTTGATTTCAAGCCCCTCTGAACCCTTGTATCACTCTGAATCTCTTTCAGCACTTAGTAAATTCTGCCTTTTATGACAGTTAATTCTGCGCTGGTCCCCACCACTAGATTAAATATCTTAAGAGACCAGACACTGGACCTTATCATCTTTGTATTCTTATACACAGGCACACACATCTTACGTGTGGGCATGTGCTCACTAAACATTTAATGAGTTGACATTTGTATACCAAAAAATTACGAGAGGTTCTCAGATGTGACTTTCCAGACTCTGTGTGTGTGTGATTATTCTCAGATGAGAGAGAGAGAGAGAGAGAGAGAGAGAGACAGAGAGAGAGACAGAGAGACAGAGAGAGAGAGAGAGAGAGAGTGTGTGTGTGTGTGTGTGTGTGTGTGATTATTTGATGTTTATCCCACCATTGTATGCTCTCCAGGCAGTTTTAATCCAGCAACAGTTTTCACCTAGCTTTCAAAAAAATACTTTAAAAGAAACTTATTTCAAGGATTGTCTTTCAAAACAATATCTAATATCTGCCCATTTGGTGTGGCTCAGCAGTTGAGCATCGACCTATGAACCAGGAGGCCACGGTTCGATTCCCGGTCTGGGCACGTGCCAGGATTGCGGGCTTGACCCCTGGTAGGGGGAGTGCAAGAGGCAGGAGATCGAAGATGTTTCTGTCTCTCTCTCCCTCTCCTTTTCTCTCTCTGAAATCAATTTTTAAAAAATCCAGTATCTATATATTTACATATCTATAGAGAGAGAGACTTTCAGTTAAAAATGGCAACTGCAGGGATTTAGGAATATACCATATAGTATATAAAACTGTATGCCCTGTGCCTTGCTAAGTGTGTCTTATTTATTTAATATTTACTTATTTAATAAATGTTTACTGAATAAATGTAAAATGTGAGGTACTTCTTTCCCAGATTTTGGGACAAGAATAGGGGTAATAATAATAGTACTGAAGTAGCCAGTAATTTCTTCTGGCCATACATGTAATCACAGTAAAATTTTTTTCAAATATTTCTAGATAAGGACTTGTTTACCTAGGATAATCTTAAGTGAGCCACATGTATCTGAGAAAAATAGGTTAGTTACAAAGAGAAGTGAGATTTTTACTGTACCTCATCTAAAATTCCAAAGAAATTAAAGGGTCTTTTAGGCCCTGGATTTGGGGTGGCATCCAAAGAGATGAAAGAATAGTTGCCAAAGGGAGTACTGTGGACATAATGGAAAGAGCCATCCCTACGTACGGCAGAATATTTCCTAAAAAAATAGAAGACAGAAAAGTTTTAGTGCAATCATAAAAAACAAAACGGAATACATTTAAATTCCTTCCCTAATACTGCACTATGTTTTGCCTCTTTTAAAAAGGAAATTTCCTGATCTGATAAATACACTGAACTAGATCCACAATGGATAAACTGTAAAAGAAATTTTATAGATTTCTCCCATTGTCTCCAGAGACAGCAACCAAAACAAAAAGTAAAGCAGAGAAGTAGGGAGCGATTTTAAGTAGCCCACTAAACATTTAGAAAGAGATCATTCAGAATCCAGTGAAATGGTACTTACCAATCATTAAAAAATGTAATGAAGTCCTATTAAGTACACAGTAAAATCCTTGGTGCAGTGAGATACAAAAGGTGTTTACTTCTTGAAATAGGACTACAGAGGATTATCTTGCAATAAAAACTTGTAAAGTCATCAAACAAGGAGAAAAATGATAGTATAGGTAAAGGTCAGTAAATCTTTTTCAGTTCCTAAAAATATATGATAACATACACAGGGTCCACATCCAGTAATGAAAGTCCTCACCACCTTAAGTGTCAACAGTGTTCAGGTGTCCATAAAGTAGGAGAGTGAAGAGCAGGAAGAAAGGATGGGGAACAGCACACAGAGCAGGCACTCGTTAAGTATTTGTTGAATAAATGTGAGGGAAAGTATAGACTACATTGGGGTATCCCTATATTATTCAAATGTCAAAATATTATAAGAAAATATCTAAGTGTCTTATATGACTTTTTACCTAAGAACATATATGAAAAAATACAAATAAACTTCTGAAACTTAATGTGCTATCAGGGAGCTATATTTAAGCCACAACAGCCATCAAATATATCATAAAATAAATATATTGTCATAGACATTACAATTAATAATCTATTCTACTGCTTCTCTTCTTGGTATTTTTAAAATTTTCATTTCAGGGCTATTTTGTTATTAAAAAATTTATATTTTTCCTGCCTAACTTGTTTTCAGTTATATTTCAGGATTTTATAATCTCATATGTTGTTTTCATTCCTATATTTTTGACACATTAAAATCCAACTATCTAAAAATAAATCCAACTATTTAAAGGCAGAGGTTAAAATACATGATAGTTTATAACATTTTTTGAATTCTGTATTTTGGCATTCTCTGGAGCATTCTTAGCTCAAGATTTAAGATTTTTTCCTTCAGGTTGATATTTCTGATATATATATGTATATGTACATACATGTATGTGCCATTTATTAAACTCAGATAGGCAGTTAGAAACAAAAATATGAAAGAAACTTTAAAGTGACTAAAAACTTTACTTTCCCAATAACTAGTGAAACCATAAGTCCTGTTACTTCTTCTTTGAAAATGTTTCTTAACTCCATTCCCATAGTCACAAAGATATAAACAGTTAACAGGAAGTGAAAGATTTTCATCTCTGTCTTTTTCTTTTCTCACATTAACAAAAGAGGACTACCTCTTCTTCCAAGTTATCATGACTAATTATATGTTAACCAGTTCTATCATCCTGAAATTGATGCAACTATCCCCATATCCAGGAACTTGGTTCAGTTAGGTTTGTCTATTTATTTCAAGTCCTTTCAAGTCCTTTGCAGGACTCTCCTATTTGGTATTTACATAACTCCAATCTCTCCCTCTTTCTTCTTTTTTTATCCCTATCTTTTGTAGCTGTTGTTATGCGACTGTCTTTATAAAATACTGTTTTCATTTTGTTACTTGTCTTCTTAGGAACCTATACTGGATTGTGACCTATTACCCATCACATCTAAATCTTCATGCTTCTCACTTAAGACCTCCAATGTCGTATCAGTCCTCATTATCAACTTTTATTTCGGTGACGACCAGTTTCCTTACTGCCCTCCAAAGTTCATTCTAGCTTTTATAGTTCAAGGGGCTTTTTTTTGTTTTGGTTTGGTTTTTATTTTTTTACCTAAAATATGTCACTCAAGTGTCTTACTTTTCCAAATGCTACCCATCTTTTAAGACTGAAAACAACTTTCACTTCTTTTAGAGTCTTCTTTAACTTGCAACTAGTAGATAAATAAGTTCTGAAGACACAATGCACAGCATAGTAATTATAGTCAACAATACTGTATTATAACTTCAAAGATGAAAAGAGACTAAATCTTAATTCTTCTCACCATAAAAAAGAAGTGATAATTATGTGACATGACAGAGGTATGCTATGGTGGTACTCATACTGCAATATATAAATGTAGCACATGAACATGCTGTACACCTTAAACTTACACAGCACTATATATCAATTATATCCAATTTTTAAAAATTTTTAAGTTAAAAATAAAGTATCTCTGTCTACCCCAAGCTGACCTCTGCCTTTTCTGATTTCTCACAGTGATTACCATGTGTAATTATCTAGCATTTCATCAGCCACTTTCATGTTCTTTTCTAACTGTCTCGTAAACAATTATCTCCCTTAGCTAGACAGATTTCCTTGAAGGTAGAGGCCATGTTTTTTCAATGTTAACTCCTGTATCTCTCGTAGTATTTAACTAATGATGGGCTCTTAATAAATATTGCTACTTGACTGACAATGCAGAAATCAAGTGAAATTACAACCAAAAGAAGAATCTCAACACATTGAGACCAGAAAATCAGTTTTCTATCTCAAAGATCCTTTCACTTTCACAGTCGTTTTCACATTCATGGCACATAAAGAAAATTTTAATATTTGTATGACTTCTGGAATGAAAGGACAAAGCAGCCGGGGTGACCAACCGGGATCTTCAGCCACCCCAGAGGCTGAGAGAATCAGTATCTCAGTATTCTTAAAACCTGTAGTACTCTAGGTGACAAGCTCTGATCTAAATGATTTCTGCTATGCATCAATGGCAAAAAAAAAAAAAAAAAAGAA